AGCTGCCCCTTCAGTCGGTCCCATCTTTCATGAGCTCTACAGCCTGCCTCTAGTCCTCAAGCAGCTCCCCCCCCCGCCAGCCCTCTTACCACCGGGCAGACCTGCTTCCCCCGCCAGGCGGGGCTGTGCCTTCATGCTTCATCACAAGGCCCTGTCTCTTTCTGAGCCCCCTTTCCACCCTCCCTCAGGCTCTGATCCCGCCATCACGAAGCGTCCTTCATCCAATCCGATCCTTTGGCCGTTCATACCTGGCCCTTCTCTCCAAGTGGCTGGAAGCCCACCTGATGCAAGCCTTTCCATGGAGATCTGGCTTGAGCTGTGGGTTCTAGGGCCAGTTGTGCGTGAACCGAACCCCCCCCAACCTGCCCCCCCCGGTCTCCCTTGATGGCCTCTGAGCCCCATCCATACTCTGACCGTCCGCTCCAGGTTTTCTGCTCTCTGCCCAGCCTTCCCCGGATGGCCCACCCAGCCACCCAGGTCCTCAGCAGAGGCCCCCCTGCACGATCCATCCGGAGACGAGGGGCCAGTCGTGGGGTGGGGGGTGCGGCATGGCAGCGGCCAGGCTCCTTGGTCGGCTGGCAGGGTCGAGGCACTGGGAAGGCGGTCTTGAGGACCAAGCTGTGAAAGGGTGGGCCTAGAGGAGATTTGGCCCCGGAGATGGCAAGGAGAAGCAGGGCGCACGGGCGGGAGCAACCAGGGGCGGTAGCAGAAGGGGAGGGTGAACACAGCCAGCTCCTCTCCAGGTCATTGGTGGAGCACAGGTTGGCTTGGGGGGGGGGTTGGCACACAGACGGGCAAGAAGGGAGGACGAAGGGTGTATAAAAAATACAAAAGAGCTCCAGTGGTCTGCTCTGTTCCAGCACCACCCACTCCGAGAGAAAGCTGCTGGTTTCTCGGTTTGGCACAGGTTGATGGTGGGGGGGGGAGGANNGCAGATTCAGCTGTTGTGTGTGTGTGTGTGTGTGTGTGTTTGTGTGTGTGTGTGTGTGTGTGTCTAACTGGCTTTTATCAAGAACACTTAGTTTAAAATCTTTACAAAGGACAAAACACGGCGTCTCCGTTAGTGTTTAAAGAACTAAAGATCTGCTTAAAAAACGTCTCATGGAAAGAAACAGACAGACAGACAGTTTTTCCTCGGCAACATGAAGAGTGTGACGTGGGGTGGGGTGGGGAACAGACAGTGCCTGTTCAGCCCAGCACCAACCCCCGACCATCCGGGATCCGGAAATCCAGGGCTTCAGGAGACCCGGCGCTCAAACACCCCCCACACCCCCCCCCGGCTGGTCCTGCGAAAGGATGCCCGGTGACAGTGCCAAGCGATGGCCTCCTCTTCAGCGCCCTGGCCACTCAGCAAGGGGCCCTTTTGCCCCCATGGCACTTGGATTGGAAAATCCCAAATGGGATGGAAGGAATGGCAGGCGCGCTCCACTCTGGGGGCACCTGTTGTGGCCGCCGGCCCCCTCCCAGCAGGGTCACGGGGTGGCCAGAGGCACCGGGGCGCCTCCCTCAGGACAGAAAGGCTGTCGGATGCTGGCCGTTGACCTCCCGCACAGTGTCAGAGGTGGAGAGTGGGAGGGGTGCCCCGCAGTGCAGTTTGGGGTTCCTTGCCTCCGCTCGCCCCAGGTGAGCCCCGCTGCCCTAGTGGGCGCCAGGCGAGTCAGAAGCACTTGATACAAACGACACTCTCGAGAAGCAAGCCGGCAGGGGGATAGGGTGGGAGTGTCGGGGACAGAGCTTGCCACGTCTGACCCACCCCCACCCCCTGGCCCCGAGCGCCGGCTCCGGTGAGAGTGGAGGGTGTGCCTGGACGTGGGGGCGCTTGAGCGGCTATACCCGGGTGGTGGAGTGTGAGTGGGGCAGCCCCGTACTGCTGAAGCTGGCGGCAAAGGTGTTGTAGGGGTGCAAGGTCTGGAGGCCCACCAAGGAGTTGGGGATCATGGTGATGGTGTTGGGCGTCATGAGGGGGATGTCGTCCGGGGAGCGGCGCAGCGTGAGGGTGTAGTCGGGCAAGGTGGTCAGGCGGAGGGTGTCGTGCGGGGCCACCGTCTCGCAGTCCCCGTGGTGGGTCTGGTTGGCCTGCAGCGAGGGCATCTCCTCCTCCGGCGTGTGGCCCAGGTCGTTGCTGGCGGCGGCGGAGGGGCCTCCCCGCTGGGGGCTGGCCTGGCGGTGGGTGTCCTGCCGCCGCTTGTCCTTGCGGTAGTAGAGGGCGGCAAAGGCCAGGACATTGAGGAACAGCAGCGAAGCGCCCACGGCGATGGTGACGCTCAGCTCGGTGGAATAGTCCCGGGGGTTCTCCACCAGGAGCGTGCCGGCCCCCTCCTGCTCGGGGTTCCACTTCTCCTGGGAGCCCTCGCCGGTGTAGGCGGTGGAGATGGCGGGCCGCTTGGTGCTCCAGGCTTTGCCGTTGGGCCGGCGGGTGATGTGCGAGTTCTGGGTGGTGTCCGGGGGTGGCACCTTGGTCGTGGTGGACGTGTAGTGGAACATGTCGTGCAGGTTGTAGAGGTGGGGGACCAGGTGCTTCCAGAAGGCCACCTTGGTGGCCCGATAGTGGTCGCGCACCCGGGGCTTGAGACCGATGTGCAGGTATAGCTGGTCGCGGGGATTGTACTTGGACCAGGCCACTTCCTCGAAGCGGTTGGCCTTGGTGTGGATGAACTTGGTGTCCTGCGGGACAGGCTTGTTCGGGTCCCTGGAAAGGAGGAGAGAGAGGCCATCAAAGAAAGGGCCCCCAGGGTCACCGGGGGAGGATGATGGCAGGGCTGAGGATCATCCAACCGTAGGAGGCCTCAGAGACACACACACAAACATACAGCGATTCTGAGAACAAAATGGAAATGCTTCTTTGATAACAAAGCCTACAAGATAAAAACTCGGGCATGTGTCAAAAACACAGACCCTCGGAACGTGGCTGCTTGGTCTGCATCTCCCAGTGGGGAGGGGACGTGGGCCACCGAACTCCTGACCACTGGCTCCCCTGTTTTGAAACAGGGCCTCCTACCACAACCTGAAAATGAGCCAGGAAAAGCCAAAAGCACAGAGAAATTGTGTGTGTGTGGGGGGGGCATCTTTAAGTCAGAAAGAGGCAGAGAGAGGAGTGAAGGGTGAGGTGGAGGAATGGCCATGTGCTTCTGCAGCCTTCCTGGGACCTCCAGAGGTCAAGAATGCCCCCCCCCCCGGCAGGGGAGGAGATCATCATGAGGCTCTTCCCGGCAACAGGCTTATGAAGCTGCTCTCAGCTCCGTCTGCTTCTCGGACTGGCTTTGGCCCGGGGTCATCGGCTCTAAACTGGCACCCGGTCTCTAGGCTCTTAGGGACAGGCCTACCAGCCGCTCGCACCCCAAGGCCTTGGGAGAGAGCCTAGGATCGGCAGTACACCCACCGCGGGTGGCACATGCAAAGCGCCGGTCTGAATGGCCTCTGGCATGAATGGTGGGTCATTCTCTCATGCACAATCCTGCACAGCAGACAGAGCGAGCAGGAGCTTCCCCCCAAACACATCCCAGACTCTGCTTTCTTCCTGTCCCTGTTTCATCTCTTACAAGGGCATTTGTTTTCTTATCGTAAACTTTCACAGTTCTACAAGTGTCCAATTGACTTGCTTTTAAGAGCAAGCTTCCTCTGAAAAATCGATCGTGCAGACATGGACACTTTGTGGGAAATGTGGCTTTGGAGGGATTTCTTTGCCTTCTACCTCTGAAGCTGCCACCTTGTCCATTTCTGCCTTGGGAGAGGTCACCCCCCCCTGAGCCACCCCATCCCTGGGAAGGCCGTGCCCTGAGAAACCTACCCCGTCTTGGCAAAGTTGGTCCAGTAAGTCATGACCACCGCGCTCAGCATGACGTCGTTCTTGGAAAAGTTGCACGGGAAAAGGTCGGTGGGGCCAATCATGGGGATCCCGAAGACGTAAGGCACCTCGTCCCCGTGGGCGGCGTCCGACCACAGCGGTTTCATGAGGCTCTGGCAGTGGTGGTAAAAGGCGTAGAAGTAGGTGGGGGAGCCGTAGCGGGCGTGCAGGTCGGCCGTCACCACCGAGGGCTCCACCCACTGGTGGTCGGTGAAAAGGGCCACCAGGGTTTTGCGGCGGGTCTCCGGGTTGTCCCGGTCGGCCCAGTCCGTGTACATGAACTTGATGGTCTCCCGCAGCGTGTCTTTGCCCTCCGGGTAGCCGTAGAGGTTGTCCACGAAGTTGGAGACGGAGTAGTCGAAATCGCTGCCCGAAACGCCGTCCTCGGGGTCCACCACCCCTTCCACGAATTTGAGGCCCTCGCCCTGGTTCACTCCAAGCATGATGTCATAGTTGAGGAACTCGCCCTGCTCCATCAGGATCTCCGGGTCATCGGGAATGACGTCCCCGTCGATCACGGGCCCAAAGGCCACGTGGTAGCGAGCCGGCTGGATGTCCTGCTCCACCAGCTCCTTGGCCGTCTTCTGCCTCAGGCAGTCCACCATGTCCACGGTGTCCAGCACGTTGCAGCCCACCTTGTCGGCCAACAGGCTGGTGTACTTGACCGGCTGGTAGTTGACGGCCCAGCTGGACAGGGCCGAGCCGCTCTGGATGATGGCTCTCTGGAAAAGGCCTGGAAGCAGAGGAGGAGGCGGGCAGAAATGAACGAGGCCTGGAAAGCTGGCTTTCAAAATAATAATAATAATCCCAGCTTTTCAGGACAAGCAGTTTGGCAAATGGCTGTTTGCCGATACACATGGCAGAGACCGAAGAGGAACTTGTGATATTACGGATTGTGTGGCTCCTTTATTTTCTGTTGCTTTGGGGGCCTCGGCTCCAGAGCCGCTTAGAACTGATAAAAATGACACACAAGTGGAAAACTTCCTGCCCGAGGCACAACAAATGCTGTTAAAAAGTAACTAGGAATTGTTATCATTTGAACAAGGGAGACATTTCTTCCCCTCTCTCCAGGTTACTTTTGAAATGTACCGATATCCTGCCCTGACGTATTACAGAGGGTCGCATTCCCTGTCATCTCACCCTTCGGACCCCATGACGCAGGAGGCGCCACTGGCCTCGGTGAGAATCTCCTCCCCGGAGGGGAATTCACATTTCCTGCAGAGAGGCTTATATCCCAGACATTGCAACACACCAGAGATGTTAAAGGCAACAACCCCTCTTTCTGCTGCACAACTCCTGCAATTTGCAAGGAAGAACTAGGGCCAGGGGGTGGCGGGCGAGGAGCACAGGCTGTCTCCCCGCCTCCCCCCCCCGAGTAGAAGCCCACCAGCCTTTTCTTTGTGCCAGATCTGGCTGCAAGGCGGCAGTTTCGGCTGTGCTACGGCAGTGTGAGCGCACGCTGGCATCCATGGGTCTCCCTCTGCCACCGGCAGCCTCCGCGCTCCGGCAAGGCAGAGAAATGTTTCCACTCAGGCTGGCCGCTGCAGCCACTGATGCTGGGGCGACTTGACCTCAGGGCCCCCCCGCCCCTGCCGCCCAATCAGCCCGAGAGGGTCCCCACTTTGGGAGGGAAGCCTGGGACACTTAACCCTGTGTGCTCCACCGAGAGCCGACTCACTTCCTGCCCAGCTGGGCCCCGCTCTGTGCCAACGTCGGCTCGGAGAGCAAGATGCGTTTCCCTAGTGGCACAAAGAGGCCTTTTTTCCCCCCCGCCGGAGGGAACACAAGCGGCAGGGGACGTCAGGCCTAGGAAGCGGGCCCACAAAGGCCCCCCGGGTCTGGCAGAGGAATGCCAGGCTGGGCGCCAAGGCCCCTTCCCCGGGGGTGGGATGGGGGGGCGCATGCGCTTGTCCTTGGAATACAAAACGGGCTCCGGAAAGGCAGCCTCTGCAGCTGAAGCAGCAGGAAGGGGCCAGAGGGTCCTGAGCCCTTCACCACAAGAGTGCCACCCCCCCAGCTGCTCCCCCTCAGCCCCTCGGTCCCAACAGGGGGTCCCAAGAAGGGGGAGCACCAGGAGGAGATCTATTTATATCGGTGATCTGGCACTCACTTCTCCCTCTTTCTGCCCAGCGCTCTTCCAAGGGACGCCCCTTGCTTACATTCCTATTAGCATC